TATATATATATATATATATATATATATATATATATATATACATATATACATATATACATATATACATATATATATATATATATATATATATATATATATATATATATATATATATATATATACATATATATATATAACTACTCTGTATATATAAATATAGTTACTTAGCTTACTCATTTTTCTCTCTTCCTCACTGTAGTAGCCTGTAATCCCCAATGACCTGTCTATGCCCTGGGGATTACTCTCTTCAAAAGCCTTATTCCTCAATAGACTATTAAGAAAAGAGTGTTTTGGAGACAAGGTACAAAAGCAGTGTTTCTTTTCATTAGCACGAGCACAAAGCACTGTCAAAATATGTTCTCCACCGAGAGTGTGTTGTGTGTATTTATGTGTTCTCCAAAAAAAAAAAAAAAAAAAAAAAGTTATTGTTATTCACAGGAAGGGTAAGTCGTGTTTATATATAGGAATATTTTACTGACTGTAAGGTAGAGAGGTATCAGGTACCTTTGTCTTTAGCAGGTATTTTGTGGTGTGTTATTGTAATATCTATATCTATATTTATATCTGTGTAATTCAAGCTGTAGTCAAAGAAACCACGGAATTCTGTCTCTTTCTTCTTTATAAGAAATGAATATATCATTTATGTGTTTTACGAATGCAAGGACAAAATCCCAAGGGCAAAATCACGGAAGAAGTTGAATATGTAATAATAAATGTTTAAGTGATTTGATAATCATAAAATACTAAATTAGACTTATGAAAAAGATACGTTAATTCAAGAAAAAACAACTTATATCACTTATATTACATTCTCAATGAATAATAAGATTAAAATTAATTACCACAGCAGATAGTACTGTAAAAGAACATAACCAACAATAATTAAGCTATTTTGCTTTCTCATCATTACCGTGAAATGCCAAAGTCTTTGGAGAAACCAGTGTTTATTTTCACAATTACCCACAATCAATCCCCACGGGTGATTTTGTCCTTGTGGGATTCTGTCACCAACAGCTATATTCTTCCTGTCAGAAAACTGGATGTGTTTACACTACCAACTTACCGACTTTTGACTGGCGAAGTACCCCGTTGTGTTTGTCATGAGCGCCATCTGTTTTTCTGAATTTCTTTTTTTTCCAGACCATGAATCTTAACTGTTATTCTGTTGTTGTTTTTTTCAATTATTCAGTAAATATTGATTAATGGAGTCACGAAATATATTAAGAAACAAAGGAATATATAACTATTTCCATTTTTTTTTTCTTATCTTTTGATTTTTTCTGTGGTTCATGTCATACGCACTTTTAAAAACAATATGGACATATTTGATTACATATTCACTAAATTCCCTTATTCATCTATTTATTAATCTCTCTGAATACAGTATTTCCTAACTTACACATTTATAATTTCCCCTCTCACTCTCCTAACATAACCATGGTACGTATCAATATTTTGAAACAGTAGCAAATGTTTTTATGACAAGCTGCTCAAAACCGGCTAATCTTATACTGTCCTCTCAGTTTTGGCTCTCCACTGCCCCCTCTTCCCTCAAAAAAGAAAAAAAAAAGAGAGAGAAAAGATAGAACAGATTATAATGCATCTAGAATACATATCCTTCCTTACTTCCCCCCCCCCCCTCCAAGAAAAAACAAAGAAGTGTTTTTCTTTTTTCTTTTCAACTTTTTTTTTCTCTTTCTCTACAGATGGAATTAAGAGAATCGCTACATTAAACCAAACATGCCTATATTATATCAATGATTATTTATCATTTCTGCTCTAAGTTTACTAAAACACCTAAGACACACAAACAACTATTTAAAAAAAAACACCAAACAGGACTTGGCATTACTAACAACTTTTAAGACAATTTCGGACGGTTTAGCAACGACAACAATTTCTGTGTTTTAAGTGCAGTGTGTATGTAAACTCTATTTTATTACTATTATTTTTGTGTCTGTATATTTCTTTTTCTTCAAGTTTCCATCATTTCACTGTTTGGGAGGATAATAAGTCTTGTTATAGATAATTTATAGCGAAGAGTATTTACAAAATTCTGTATATATCAATTTCAATTCAGGTCTACAGTTGACACATATTTTCACTAGAATATAAAAAAAACAAGTAAACAAGTTAACATATATACATGAATTAATGATGAAGGAAATCTTCAAATCACAACAAAAACGACAAAAATAGAACGCAAAATACACATACAAAGATAGACATTTACATAGATATTTATTAAGAGACAGACTGTAAATATATAATTTCTACAATATAATGTATCGAGTGGACAAAATATTGTCCATGTGGTATATATATATTTTTTTCACTTAACCAAGAAACCAGTTCTTTGCAAGATATAACATCTGTAGACATAGAGTTAGATATAATGAACAAAAACAAATATACATATTACTATTGTTGTTGTGTCTTTGTTACAAGTGACGTCATACCAGTGAATTATTTCGTTGCGTTCTCTGTATTAAGATTTATCACCGTCTGTGCTTACCCCTTCCTTTTCTTGGCGTTTTCTCCATCTCTCATTCATCAGCCATCTTTTTCTACCTGTCTTTAGCTTCATGTGCTTAGAAGACACAATTCTGTTTTGTTTACAGGTATTTTTTTTCCCATTTTTATTCCTCTTTATTTGTGTGTTATCCATGTCACTCTTCGCAACTGCAGTTATTCTCATTCTTCCATATCTCTCCTTTTCTCTCCTTCTAGCTTTGCTCTTCCTTCACTTTTCTTCCAATAACTTACGAGTCATGTTTCTTCTTCTCCGTTTTTCTCTCTCTTCCTCCATTTCTCCACGTTTTCCTCCATCTTCATCCTCTTCTTTTGTTGCTTCATATCTTTCTCTCTTCGTTTCTCCTCTTCTTTCTTTCTCCTCTTCTATACTTCCACCTTTCTCCCTCGTCGATCTCTCCTCTTATTGCCCTTCCTTCTCTTTTTCATCAATTCCTCTTATTCATTCTTCCGTATCGCGTAAAAAAAATATCATTATTCTTCCTAATCTTTCTTAACAGTGCTTAAAAAAATCTAGGAACTTCATGTAATTTTGTGTGTACGCTTTACATTTTTCTATTTTCTCTTGTTTCTCTCTCTTTTTCTGGACATTCTCTCTCTCTCTCTCTCTCTCTCTCTCTCTCTCTCTCTCTCTCTCTCTCTCTCGTACTGGACACTCTCTCACTCTCTCTCTTTTGTATTGGACACTCTCTCACTCTCTCTCTCTCTCTCTCTCTCTCTCTCTCTCTCTCTCTCTCTCTCTCTCTCTCTCTCTCTCTCTCTCTCTCTCTCTCTCTCTCTCTCTCTCTCTCTCTCTCTCTCTCTCTCTCTCTCTCTCTCACGCCCTCTGCCATTTACTGGATGAATTAGGCCTATGCAAAATGGAGAGAAAAAAAACAAACGTTTCTTTCAGCCTCTTCCACCTGAGGAGGAAGGAGCAGGGACACGACACAGCAGGCTTTAAAGCATCTTGTGTATTCTTCTCTCGTTCTTCTCCTTATAAGGATGTTTTGATGTGTATCTGTGTTATGTTTCTTTGTCTCTTTTTCCCTTACAGTGACTCTCTGAGAAAAGAAAGAGTGTTTGATGCATTTTTTGGTTTTAATTTGTTTTTCCCCCCTTTCCCTTTCTTTCTTTATTATTATTGTTTTTTTTTTACATTTTCTCGTCTCTTCGAACACGTGTGATACATATGTGGTTACTGCTTTCTCTGTCGTACTTATTCCATTGTGGATTTTTTAAAATTTCATTTCTGTTACACACTTATAGACACATGTACACTCTTTCTCTACCTCTGTGTTCCTGGTTTTCTCTCATAAATCTCTGTCTGTCTGTCTGTCTGTCTGTCTCTCTCTCTCTCTCTGTCTCTCTCTCTCTCTCTCTCTCTCTCTCTTTCTCTCTTTCTCCACCTCCCTTTCTCTCTCTATCCATCCCTCCCTCTTTATCCCACATACACGCCGACACAAATATTATTCCAGAAAGGATTACTTATTTTTTTTCTCTGATTCTTAATTTCTTCGAAGTGGCTTCCTCTTCCTCTTCCTCCTCCACTCTGCTCCACAAACCCGGGCGAGCCACCTCCTCCTTTTGAGTGTGAGGAACAGCTTAATACCACTTTACAGCAGTATACACAGGCAGACCCGCTCCTGTTCTTGTCGTGGAAGAACAAGGACACAGTTTTAGGTCTATTATAAGTGTATTTGTAAATGTATTTGTTTGAGTACCAAGTAGATGTCTTCTTTTTTTGCAAGAATATTAGATTTGGAAGTATATATTTTTTTTGTATTATTTTTTTTTGTCACACTTGTTTGGTTCATTAATTAACAACACATAAACATTAAAAAAAAAAACTTTGACATATTCCAACAGCTTAAGTTGAATTAGAGAGATAAAAATGAAAGAAAGATTTTAGAGAAAAGATCAATTTTCTAATAATTCTTCAAAGTATCTCAGTTTTTTTTCTCACTTTTAATATTCCCTTTCACAACCCCACACTACCCACACCCCCACAACCCCACAATCCGTTCGAAACTGCAATTCCCAACAGTCCCTTTTCAACCTCATTACTTTTTCTCCCTTTCCTTCACTCTTTCTTTTCTTATTCGCCCT